CCCCTCCCCATAAATAATGACCACTCCCTAGGTTGTTTTTACAATTTTCAAAATTGAAGTTGAAACTATAATTAACAAAAGTTCAGTGTCAAAAATCTCTTATCTTGGCCAATCTATTTTTGACTTTTAAAGCATAATTCACTGAAACATATAGATATTAATATACATCATAAACTTTTAGTCTTTTATATTAAACAATGTTTGAGAAAAATTCTGTCATAAAATCTTTTTTCAGATTAATCAGATAAAGAGTAAGATACCTGGCATTTCAGAATGTAAGTTCTACCAACCAAAAAGAATAAAAAGATCAAAAAACAACAATAGAAATTATAGAATATTAGCTCCATTTAAACTCCACTCTTAGCTTGGCGCCATATTGAATTTCGCGGCCGCGCTGGTAAAGGCCTGGGGACTAGGTAATATTATAGCTCAGTGGGTGCTCTACCGTATCTGAAATAGCCTTCACCTGGAAATGGCGTCATTTTCACTCAAAATCCGCCATGTTTTTGGCGACACTTTGTTGACTGAACGAAGTATAGGAGCAGGTCCTCCAGTTATTATACAGCTCAGTGCTATAAACGCGTCAACGCGAGCAAAATTATTGTTGACATTTGAGTTACGTAATTACTTCCGTTAACGAGATTAACCAATGGGAAGCTTTTCCGAAGATTCTTCGGAGAAGAACAAATTAATCATAGGCATTTGGGCAGGCGTTTATTTAACGACGCCCTTTCTTCTCCCGCCCGCACTAAACGCCTGCTACGCAGGCTATACTACCTAAGAACATGGCCGCCGCTCTCTCGCGGGTGTATGCAGGCCTATGTCGGCGCGGCGCTACCGCCTAACATCAAAAGAGTGTCCCTTCTGGTTCTACTCCTTATTCTGTGGTCCCGGCTATTGTCCCGGCTAATAAATTGACTTGTTATTTACCCTGTACCCCGGGGGGAAATGGTGCATTAAAACCGCGTTAATCCACGGCCATTCCCCCGTTAATTCCCCGCCCTGTCCGGGGGGCCGGGATTTCAATTGACTAGTGCATTATTAAACAAATTTGTTGTGCTCCTTATTCATTGTTGACAAAAATTTCAAAGAAAAATTGCCTATTCACATTGCAAGGCCAAAATTATGTACATAATTCCAGTAATAAATAAAATAAACAACTTTACCAATGACAAGTACGTGAGAGTCTTTATGGATATATATAGTGACAGTCTTTGCAATTTCACATCACGATTCATGATGAGCCAAAAAACCCAAAAGTACCCGATGTACCTGTGAAATGTTCATTTTGTGACATCCTAAAGACAGACAATTAGCATTTTAAAGCTCCCTCGGGCTAGGCCCGACGGAACAATAAACAACTTTACCAATGACAAGTGAGATTATTTATGGATATAGTGACACTTCAGACAGTCTTTGCAATTTCACATCATGATGAGCCAAAAACCGCAAAAGTTGATGCAATAAAGAATAATAGATTAATTCCTAATTATTTACAAACATGTATCAGTACCTTTTGCATTTATATTGTGGAAAAATATCTATATTTTTATTTCAATTTTTCTCAGAATGATAACAAACTGCGTATAACCGCGTGCAACCCCCCCCCCCCTGCTAAGAGACTTGGACTAGTACAATAACTGTATATATGGCGGAAATTTTTTAAAATAAAAAATGTTGATGTTTGATCGTAAAATACAAAACTGCGGGTCTGTGCGAGTGACAACAAGTGAATTCGTACTCAGCGTATCAAAATCTATAGATTCATGTAAACTAAAAGTAGATCCCGAATGGGGGCAGCGGAACTGAACGTCTGACGTATCCTTGCTGAATGCTGATGTTAAATGTCGTATTAAATTTTCGTTGTCGAACTCATAACATGCGGGCTGACAAAGTTCAGCCTACGAACAGGCAGTTACAGGCGCGACAATCGGACTCGGGACGACCAACGTTACTGTATTTAGATCTAATTATTTTAAATTTTGTATCAATGTAAAAGCAAAACCTTTTTTCTAATGTTTAGAACACAACAAATTTTCCAAATGTTGTGGAAATCGTAATTCTAGAGCTGAAATAAGGTGGCAAAAAATTATTTGAAGGAACGAAAATATTTGTGTTCCCACACCGGGAATCGAACCCGGGCCACGGCGGTGAGAGCGCCGGATCCTAACCACTAGACCATATGGGACTCCACGACCGATTCGTTAGAATTAAAGTATATATGGTAATGCAAGAATCATTGTGATTCTGCTCGTATTTTAATAGTTGCCTTGGCTACGTTTCCAGGGCCGTAGGAAGCTCTTTTCGATTGGGGGGGCTGAAAGCGAGGGCCAGGCCCGAGGAAATTTTTAAATTTAGAGTCTCTAAAATGCCATTTCTTGGACTTTGGGGGAAGATTTAACAGAATTCTGATAGTCAGAAAACAGCGTTTTAGTATGTCGAAATTTACAGGAAAGTATGGGCCAGACTGTAGTATTATAAATGCGCGGCGGGAATTTTCGTCGTAAATGGCAGTTGCGCGGAAACGGAAGGCAGAACATTTGAGAAAATTTCGAAAATCTGGAGTCTCTAGATGGTCTGAAATGGCATTTTCAGAGTTTTCTTTCGCAAGACCCAACACGCAAAAGACAAAATAAATCATTAGTTCATCAAAAATGTGCAGATTTTGTGGGATTTTCTTGAAAATGCGCGACAGAAATTCAGCTAAAATTTCTACGCGAGGAACGATCTGGAGTATGAGTAATATCTTCATTCTTTGCAGTTTGTCACAGATTAAATGATAAAGTTTGCATGATTTTGAAAAAAGAATGATTATTAGCAAATTATTGGGGGGGCTGCAGCCCCCCCAGCCCCCCCGGTTGCTACGGCCCTGGTTTCTGACCTGACCTTCCCATGAGACAACGAGGGCCTGCGGAGGAGGCAGGTTTCTGACCGGGCCAGTTTTACAATCACAAAAACAGAAGCATACAAGAAGAATTTTGAGCAAAAAATTTGGAGTATTATCAGTGGCGTAGCCAGACCTTCATTTTTGGGGGGGCGAAGCGAACGCCGAAGGCTCGAGACCATCTATGGAGGTCCGGGGGCATGCACCCCCGTGAAAATTTTGAAATTAAGAGTCCCTGAAATGTGATTTCAAGCATTTTGGGGGTGAAATCTTGCAGAATTCCGAAGATTATAAAGTTTCAAATCGAGGTTTGAGAGGTTTTATTTTTTAAAAGATACTTTTATCTTCATATTTTCACATTAACTTATTAATACCCTGTGTAGCAAGTAAACAGGACACTTCCGGGGCCGGGACAAGTTGACATGTCGATTTCTTGCTAACAGCATAGTCATAGATGCTAACAGCGTGGCGATCAATATGGTTCGTATCTAAATACAGGGAATTTTTAAAATTTTGTTGGTATAAATGGCCTAAAGAAACTCATCAAATATTTGGACTATGGACCTTCAAACTTATGCCAAGTATTTATTTGATTGATTAGTCAACATGGCGGCGGGTTCTGTTTGTATGAGCTCCGACCCCGATGAAAATATAATGACCACCGTTTGGGATGTGAAAGAAATTTACAGATATAAAACTGCCGAAATGATATATTACGAAGGCGAACGAATTAGATGGTCTGCTGATCACGAATCGCTGAAGAAATGTATCGAATATGCTTTTGCCCAGCGTGGTAAATGGTCGTCGCCAGGGGGCAATTCAAAAAAGTTTGATAGCTTTAACTTTGATTTATCATGCACATGGTATCCTGGAAAATTGAGTTCTTTACTATTCCGTGGAAAGGCTGGCAATTTGGTAAAGGAATGCTTGATTAAGGCGTGTATGTCGAGCACACTTGATGAATTTCAAGACAACTTAAAGGTATGCACAACTTCGATAACTAATTAATGTCTGTGACGGTGTCAGTCCCAACAATTCTGACTCAATAACTGTTGTAAATAGTGTTTGCCAGCCTTCCGATGTTAGCCAGACCAGCGGACAGAAGCAGTGCATCGATATCGATCAAAGTAATAATAGTCTTAGAACACAGGATTGTGCCTCTCAAACACAAAACCAGAATTGTGATCATTTGTCTGAAGAATTGAGAGATGCTCTCAAGAAAATTGATCGTCTGTTTGATTTAACAAACAATGTTTACAATTCTATAAGTAGATTGATAAAGGAAACCCCGGTTCCCTGTGGAAATTGCATGTTAGGAAAGAATGCGTCTGGTTCAGGTGCCCAGTCGATTTCTGCTGGGGATATCGGCGAAAATATTAGGAAGTGTAACGAATTATCTATTGAACTCGAAGGTGTTAAGTTAGATGCCGTAATAACGGAGTCGAGACTCTCCAATAATATATACCAGAACAGTAAAGCGATTGAGCAAATTCATAGTCAAATGATTAACATGCAAAATATACAAAATATAACAACAGATGAGCGGTCAACCATCGCGAACAGAGAACAATCAAATACTCATACAATTAGTAAACAAAACGAAATCAGTGAAAACCCCTGTAATAAATCAGTTGTTCTACAGGATGAACAGTTTTGTTTATCACATGGACATCAAAGTGATAAACTACAGAGTAAAGTCAGTAACAATTCTAATAGTGTTCGTGATTATCAATGTGAGAATTCTAAATCAAACAATACCGTAGAAGGTAAACTACAAGGTCAACCATTTAGACGGTGTAAAACCAAAACGACGCTACCTATGTGTTTGGGAAATTTGCCTCTAATTGAGTTACCATCATCAAAAATGCAGAAAAATAAACAAAGTAAGCTTCCCAATAAGAAGAAGGTTTACTCGAAGCGATACAGGCATGGCTATTATGCAAAACGACAAATTAATACTCAATCCCAACGTGGCATAACTAAAACCACCGATTGGATTCCACTCGATGCTGTGAGTGAAATTCCCAAGCATCAAGGGAACCATCAGACATCACTCCATTCCGCTCACCTGACAAATTTTCGACGGCGCCGTTTAAATCATCGACCTCACCCAAATCACCCCCCTTACCCAAACCTTCGATACGATCAAAATTACCGGTCCCATCAGAATCATCGACCTCATCAAAATTTCCAGTCCTATCAAAATTTCCAGCCCAACCATCAACCACAACAAAATCAGAAAGATTGGTTGAATTACCTAGAATTTGTTCATGGGATGATAAGAAAAAGAACTTAGCTATTCCTGTTAGAATTACACAGAGACAAAATTACCACCACTGTAATTCTAATAATACTTCAAACATTAACTCAAAGAGACGAAGTAACTTGGTACCTATTAATTTAACATCCACAGGAAAGGTTCCTTCGAGAGAAAAAGAAAAAAGTTCCTTACCCTCTTTGTTCCTTTCTAATACAAGATCACTCGTTAATAAAATTGAGGATCTGGAAGTTGTCATTAACCAAAACGATGTGGATATAGTTTGTATTACAGAAACTTGGCTGACCAATAATATTTCCAACTCAGTAGTCGACATTAGTGATTACACGCTAGTACGGAAAGATCGAAGCGCTGATAAACGTGGTGGTGGTGTTTGTACGTACATCAAATCATCAATTGATTTCACAACAATTGACGAACTTAATGATTCCCCATTTGAATCTCTTTGGGTATACCTCCGTCCGAACCGACTCCCACGAGGTTTTTCTTGCCTAATTATCGGTATTATATACCACCCACCACAAGACGATGATGCTACTTTTACGGATCACCTAATTTCATGTTTGGATGCCGCTTTGAACAAATATCCTAATGCTGGAATTATGTTGGTTGGCGATTTTAATCGTTTAAATTACCGATATATTAGTAACCATTTTAACCTGCGACAAACCGTTAAAAATCCAACACGCGGTGCTGCAATCCTCGACCTAATTTTCACCAACCTGTTTCACCATTATAGCACTCCTCAAATTCTACCCGGAATCGGCTTAAGTGACCATAACTCCCTACTTATTCGTCCTTTAAGGAGAACTCACAAAACGAAAGTAGAATCAATTTTTAGAAGGAATGTAAAGCCAAGCATGAAGTCCTGTTTTGGAAGATGGTTAGCATCTACTGATTGGTCATTCCTTGAAACACTATCAAACTGTACGGAAAAACTCGCTGCTTTCCAATCTTTGCTAAATTTTGCTATCGAAATTTTCTTCCCACTCCGAAAAATCAAGCAACACCCAACAGACAGGCCTTGGATTACTCCTGAACTGAAGAGTCTAATCCAGCAACGACAACAAGCAATGGCCAAAGACCCTCCTGTTTACAAAAAATTGAGAAATAAAGTTAACAGGCTAAATAACAGTCTTAGGAGTTCCTTTTTTGCAAATAAGGTAAAAAACTGTGACAATGTAGCTTCCTGGTGGAAATCCATCAAACAACTTGGAGGACTTCCTAAGAAATTACCAGTATCCAATGTTTTTGTATCGGGCAAAGAATTCCATTCAACCGAATTAGCAACAAAAATTAATGAAAGCTTCCTGTGTATCACAAACTCTCTACCACCTCTAAACAGCCAATTGGAAAACGTTGAAACTGATCCTGCAGTAGTTAACGAAATTATTTCAAAATACCACATCTCTCCTGAAGATGTTTTTACGAAGCTCTCCAACCTCAAACGCACTAAAGCCTCGGGTCCTGACAACTTACCAAGTTGGGTCTTAAACGAGTTTGCCATGGAACTCTCATCACCCGTTGCTGAAATTTTTAACGCGTCAATCCAAGAGAGAGTCGTACCTGTTTCATGGAAAGTAGCAGATGTAATACCTATTCGTAAAACAGATAAGGTTAAGGAAATTGAAAATGATCTACGCCCAATATCTCTAACACCAATTCTCTCAAAAACCTTGGAACATTTTGTCGCAGAGTGGATTATGTCACAGATCAGACATCTCGTTGACAGGAAACAATTCGGATCACTCGCCGGCTTATCTACAACTCACGCTCTTCTATCCTTTTTTCATCATCTGTATGGAACTACCGACCAATCTGACCAATGCGTGCGTGTGCTGCTTCTGGATTTTAGTAAAGCCTTCGACAAGATTGATCACCATATTCTTATCAAGAAGATGGAGGAAATGGCCATCGATCCCGTTCTTATTGCATGGGTAAAACAGTTTCTTACTGGCAGGAAACAGCGAGTGAAGATAGGTAAATACACCTCAAGTTTCGAACCAGTGAACGGTGGGGTTCCACAAGGCACTGTCTTAGGTCCGATTCTATTTATGATTATGATAAACGATTTGTTGGTTGATTGGGACGATAGATGGAAATATGTTGAGATTCGTCTGTTTCAGAAACCCTTTCTAGAAACCAAGATTCGAACTTTCAAACTATTTTAGAAGGAATTACGCAGTGGTGTGCAAGAAATAACATGTCCTTAAACCCCCGTAAATGCAAAGAAATCCTCGTTTGTTTTTGGAAAAACAATCCAAATTTCCCTCCAATGATCGTTGACGAACAGCCCATTGAAGTTGTGAAATCCGCTAAACTCCTTGGCTTAATTTTCAAGGACGACCTAAAGTGGAATGACCACGTGGCTCACATAGTGAAAAAATCCGCAAAACGCCTTTACATGCTTAGACTCCTCAAGCGAGCTCGTTGTGACACTAAAACATTGATATCAGTGTATTTTTCATGTGTAAGACCCATCTTGGAGTACTGTGCCCAAGTTTGGCATTATAACATACCTGAATACCTATCCAAAGAAATAGAAAGGATCCAGTCAAGAGCGTTGAAAATAATTAACCCATCGTCATCATACAAAGAATCCTTATCAGATCTCAATATCCCAACATTGTATTCTAGGCGCGAACTGTTATGTTCAAAATTTTTTAGGAAAAAGGTTCTTCCGCAAACTAGTCCTCTTTTCGAACTAGTTGAACCAGCCGAACATCCAAGCTACAATCTACGCACATCGAATAAACTCGTTCCAATTAATTGTCGGACAAATCGCTTCAAAAATTCGTACATTCCCTCGTCTGTAACGATTTATAATAAACACTGAGTAACTATAAATTACATACATTTTTATTTGTAAATATTATGGTAATATCATACTAGAAGTTCTAAACTCTTCCTATATTATAGTAAATATGTTTTTGTAAATATACAATATTTTTCTAATCAACCAACCCTGTAAATGATAGATGTATTTCAACCTTCGTGGTTGCAAAGTCTATATTTTATTAATAAAATTCAATTCAAAAAAAATAATTGCAGTTAAGGATTTAACTACAGTGATTAACGCTAACTACAGTTAGCGCTAACTACGTTTTTATACAACCGGCCCCTGGATTCTAACTGAAGAAACAAGCCAACGGGGGATTAGCTCAAATGGTATAGCGCGCGCTTAGCATGCGCGAGGTAGCGGGATCGATGCCCGCATCCTCCATCAACATTTCTTATGCGATGATTTGTAAATTTTTGAAGCCCCTTCGAAAATCACAATACAAACAAAACAAATCAAATCTGTGAATCAGTCCACCGTAACTGTTCGAATCCCGCACGAGTTTGATCTGGTGTTCGTTGCTGTGCATCTCGAACCTATAGCATAATTTTAAAAATAAATAATTGTCGATTATATCGTTATTCCAGCAATTCGTATAATATAAGAGTTGGGGGATTAGCTCAAGTGGTAGAGCGCGCGCTTCGCATGCGTGAGGTAGCGGGATCGATGCCCGCATCCTCCACAAATATTCATGTTATGTTGTATACATGGTTGTCCTGTCGTTTTCTTTCAGTCATGGCAGAAAAACATTGATCGATCTCAAAAAATTCTTTGGGTTTTTCCGATTCTTCCTCATCCACGCTTCTTCTTTACAACAACAACAAAAACATGTAAATGTCAACATCTACAAATACACAAAAATTAGAATACAATCTTATGGAAGCAAGTGTGGGGGACTAGCTCAAATGGTAGAGCGCGCGCTTAGCATGCGCGAGGTAGCGGGATCAATGCCCGCATCCTCCATCAACATTTCTTATGCGACGATTTGTAAATTTTTGAAACCCCTTCGAAAATCACAATACAAACAACACAAATGAAATATGTAAATTCCACCGTAACTGTTCGATTCCCGCACGACTTTGATCTGGTGTTCGTTGCTGTGCATCTCGTACCTATACAATAATTTTAAAAATTAAAAATAAAAAATAAAAACTAGTCGATTATACTGTTATTCCAGCAATTCGTTTAATATAAGAGGATTTATAAAATGCTGGATTCCAACCGGGGAAACAAGTCGACGGGGGATTAGCTCAAATGGTAGAGCGCGCGCTTTGCATGCGCGAGGTAGCGGGATCGATGCCCGCATCCTCCATCAACATTTCTTATGCGACGATTTGTAAATTTTTGAAACCCCTTGGAAAATCACAATACAAACAACACAAACGAAATGTGTGAATTCCACCGTAACTGTTCGATTCCCGCACGAGTTTGATCTGGTGTTCGTTGCTGTGCATCTCGAACCTATACAATAATTTTAAAAATAAAAAGTGCTCGATTATATCTTTCAAAAATACTGGACTCCAGCCGAGGAAACAAACCGACGGGGGATTAGCTCAAATGGTAGAGCGCGCGCTTTGCATGTGCGAGGTAGCGGGATCGATGCTCGCATCCTCCATCAACTTCCGTTATCGTAAAAAAATTATTTCAAGACGCTAGCCTTATCAACATACCTTGGTTTTCATGAGGAGCGTCGTCAATCTATATACAGTGTATTTAGAAGAAAATACGTACAAGCAAAGAAAAACTATTTACAAAATATGCCGCGTATATACAGCTTTTTATTTTGCGATATCATAATAGATAGGAATCCCATCAAATACAGAAAAGTATTTCAAAGAAATTCCGCAGAATTTGTGCCTTGGAACGGAAACTGATATTGCTTGATGAATTTTGCCACTGACAGGATCTTACATACATACATACAAAACTTTATTTAAACCACGCTACCCTCAACAACCGTTGGGAGGCTGATTTCAATGTGGGGCGTGAAATTACCTATTTACAAGAAGTTAACTATTTCCAAGAAATACAGAAATACGACAAGAAAATACAGGTGATTTTAACTGCACAATCTAATACACAAGCAAGTTTCGACTCATTCTTTGTTTTAATATCCATTTGAAAGAGCTTAAGGATTCAGCAATTTTGACTGACAGGATCTTACATACATACATACATACAAAAGTTTATTTAAACCGCGCTAGCCTCAACAACCGTTGGGAGGCTGATTTCCATGAGGGGCGTGAAATTACCTACTTACAAGAAGTTAACTATTTACAACAAATACGACAGGAAAACACAGGTGATTTTAACTGCACGATCATACACAAGCAAGTTTTGACTCATTCTTTGTTTTAATATCGATTTGAAAGAGATTAAGCATTCAACAATTTTTGACTCATGGGTAAGATTATTCCAATGCAAGGCACCGTTATAACTGAAGCAGCTCTTGCCGAATTCTTTTTTCGGCATAGGTGTGCTAAATCAGTATCCCTATATTTCCGAGATTGTATGTATTATGTCTTTCATTATTAAATTGAAATCCTTCTTTAAGATTGGTATTTTTCGTCATGTAGCAATTATGACGGCGTGGTGACACTAATTTCTGGGAAATAAGTAGGTGCCGGGCTGAGTGAACGTGTTGGGGGATTAGCTCAAATGGTAGAGTGCGCGCTTAGCATGCGCGAGGTAGCGGGATCAATGCCCGCATCCTCCACAAATATTCATGTTATGTTGTATACATGGTTGTCCTGTCGTTTTCTTTCAGTCATGGCAGAAAAACATTGATGGAACTCAAAAAATTCTTTGGGTTTTTCCGATTCTTCCTCATCCACGCTTCTTCTTTACAACGCCAACAAAAACATGTAAATATAGTCAAATTCTATATAGTCAAATTCTAACAAAAATTCTAACAGAATTTAATGACATCAATTTTGAAACCTTATGGATCTATGTACGACCTTATAAACTTAATCGAGGCTTCTCGTGTTTGATCGTCTGTGTGGCCTATAAACCTCCATCCAGCGACAACGCCGCGTTTATAGATCACCTCAGCTCAACACTTGACCTCGCTCTCAGTAAGTACCCAAATGCAGGTATATTTTTACTCGGAGATTTTAACAGATGTCCTGTCTCATCTTTATTAAGACATTTTACTTTGAAACAAATCGTAAAACAACCAACCAGGAAAGATGCTGTCCTTGATCTTATTCTTACTAATATGTCAGACACATGTGACCCTCCTAAGGTGATCGCACCCATCGGACTCAGCGACCATAAATCCGTTTTATGCATTTTAAAAAAATGTAAATCATTGAACGAATGCAAGAAAATAAACATTAGACCCGGTAACAGAGGTGCCAAAGTTGCATTTGGAAGATGGCTAACGAACTATAATTGGACTAACCTGTATCATACTGCACCGTGCGAAAAAAAACTGGAAATTTTTCAGGATGTTATTCATACCGGTTTAGAC